GTCTGGTTATCATTTGTTCAACAGCAGATGAAAAGGGTTCCAAGAAGCGAGAGAGAGCAAGAAAAAAGAGAACTAGAGAGAGGCAGAGAGTTATAAATGTCATGTATATTTGTATATCCTACCCTCTCTCTCTCTCTGTACACACACACACATACGCACACACTTACACATACACACACATGCACTAATGAAAGTAGATATTGTTCCCGTGGTTAACAAAAATGGTGGTGTCTATAGCATCAATAATTATAGACCAATTGTTCTCTTAACGATGCGCTCGAGTGTTAGAGGCAATTACTCTTCACAGACGTTCCCCCACAAAGCAAATCACGGAATTGAAATATTTTATGGACCTGTCAAAAGCTTACGATAAGGTTTGTCATGCGTTAGACGGGGTGATGATATCTCTGGTGAGTCAAACAAGGGTCCTGGTGTCCCCACATCTCTTTAACCTTTAACATTCTGGCAAAAAAAGCTAAAGAAGCATAAGGTAGGTTGCATAGTGAATTACCAACTAATAAACCTGACGATGTAGTAGTAGTCCATCTCTTGAAGGTTTACAGGAACTTGAAGGTTTACGGGATATGGCTGGGAAGAAACTCAGTATGAACATTAGAAAGACAAAAGGTATAATAATTTTAATCGGGAGCTAATAATTGATACGCATTCAGCAATCACAGCAATTAATAAAAACACACATACGCGCGCGCGTATGTGTGTTTGAACATAAATACATATATAAAATATATATGTATATATTTACATATATATATACATATGTATATATATCTGTGTGTGTTTCTGTGCGTTACTAGATTTATGTATATGTACATATATATAGAGAGAGATGGATAGATAGATCAATAAATGTGTGTGTGTGCATATATATGTCTATACATATATATGTATATATATATATACATATATATAAATATATAAATATATATTTATGTACATATATTTATATACATAAATATATGTATACATATATGTATATATATATATATATGCATATGTACGTACATATATTTATATATATAAATATATGTACATACATATATATACGTACATGTTTCTATATATACATATATGTACAAACATACATACATTCATGTAGCTCGAGCTTGCAGTCACAGCGCAGGCATTTTTACGACCGCTATGACAGGGAATTGAACTCGGGACCACGAGGGTCGCAGTCCAGTGCTCAAACCACTGGACCATCGCGACAGTCATATACATATATATGTGCGTGTGTGTGTGTGTGTGTGCGTATATATATATATATATATATATATATATATATATGCATATGTGTATATATATGTATATATATATACGTTTATGTATAAATATCATATATATATATATATATATGTGGATACATATGGATACGTATGAATATATATGTATATATATATGTATACATATTTATAAATACATATGAATATATATATATTTGTATATACGTATTTATATATGTATATATATATGTATATATATATATGTATATATATACTTATATATACATATATATACATATATATGTATGTATACATACACATATATACATATATATACACATACGTTTATAAGTATATATATACATATATCTATATAGATGGATAGATATATACATATATATAAGCGTATATGTATATTCATTTATACATATATATATTTATACATATACATTTATTTATCTATTTATCTATTCATACAAGCATGTATGTATATATATAAATATGTATATATATATATGTATGTATGTGAATGTGTATATGCATATATACTTATACATAAATGTATGTATACACACAAACACACATATATATGTGTGTGTGCGCGCGCGCGTGTGTGTGTGTATTTGTGTGTGTGTATATATTTGTGTGTGTGTATCTATATATCTATCTATTTATCTATCTATATATATATATATTTGTGTGTGTGTATGTGTGTGTGTATTTTGAGAGAGAGAGAAACATATGTATGTATATATGTATAGATATATGTGTGTGAGTGGGATTGATTGATTATTTAAAATCATCTGCAGCGTCAACATGTGCGGTATATGCACATGCATATCTGTATACGCGCACACGCACGCACACAGAAACAAATGTGTGTGTATATATATATTTACTTATATATATGTATATATACATATATGATATGTATATGTTTACAAAACGATACATATGCGTATATATATACATATATATAAATACATATATATATATGTGTGTGTGTATATATATATTACTTATATAAATAAATAAATATATATTTAATATATATATATATTTACTTATATAAATAGATAAATATATATGTAATATATATAAGTATATATGTGTGTGTGTGTATGTTTACAAAAAGATATATATATGTATATATATATACATATATAAATATTATATATACATACATATATAGATAGATAGATAGATATAGATATGTGTGTGTATTTATATATATGTATACACATACCTACACACACACACACACGTGTGTGTGTGTGTGTATGTATATATATATATATATGTTTATTGTGTGTGTGTCGTAAACTGGATGTATATTAATCTATAAAATCAATTTATAATTACAACTGTTACGATTATTTGATTTACTGTCACCACCAGCTCTTTCTATAGGTAAAACTGGAAACCTTATAAATATAAGCATGTGACCCACGATTTTCTGAATATATGTAACTATCTGAAAAAAACAAATTATATACACATAAAAAAACAAAATATAAACAACTATGAACAACTACTAAGCCCGTCAAGTTGTTAATCTTTCCCCCTAACAATAAAAAGCACAGAATATTCTACCGTAATATTCTCCGATACTGGACTCCCTACCCAGTATTCTCCCACGCAACTCAGAAGAGCACTCCCATTACCAAAGTTGCCAGCAGGAGTCTGTCTATCTTGTTGCGTGACCGGCAGAAGAGATTCTGTCACTTTCTCCCTGCTCATTCCCTCTCCCGTCGCCGCGCGTGCGCAGTAGGAATACCTCACTGATGCATGACAATGTTCGGCTGTATTTAATCTCTATTTCGTCGTCTTACGGCATTTATATATATATACATATATATTTATTTATATATATATATACATATACATATTTACTTATATATATATACATTCATATATTTATGTGTGTGTTTGTGTGTTTGTGTGCTTGTGTGTGTGTGTTTGTGTGTGTATGTATCTGTGTGTGTGCATGTTTATATGCGTATACATATACTACACATACATGTATACTCATATTGAATGTTCGAGTATACTTACATACTAATGGTTATATATGCATGTATGAATACATATATATACAAATATATATTGTGTATATCTTTCAATCTATATAGACACACACATGGTTGGCAAAAGAAGGAAAATTATAATTATTTCTTGCCAATCACTTTATTCCTTTTGGTTACTCAAATTGCAGATTATTGTCTATAGAAAAACAAAAATTTCGTTTGCTAATGACATATGTTTCTGAAGAAAATTTTAAAGAATTTTGAATATTCGAAATACCCCTATTCAAATCAGGAGAGCCAAATGGTGGTCTGGTCGTTTGCCGAAGGTCAGCGCCGTCTTATCCGAGTCGGTTTTCAAGGAGCCGTAGTTGTCATTTCCTCCGAGCTGGCACTGTTGCTCTCGGAACTGCTGCTGTCGGGGCTGGCGCGTCTGGGCGGCGTGGGCGGAAGGGAATGAATGATAAACAAGTTAATGATCAATGATTATGTGTTTGTATCTGTGTGTATATATATATATTTTTATACATGTGTGTGTATGTATATATACATGTATGTGTTTGTATATATGCACATATGTTTGTTTATGTGTGGTGCGCGCGCGCTTGTGTGTGTGTGTATGTATATATATATGTATAAATATCATATGTATATCCTACATACCCTGAACATAAAACAAAAATTCATTTGTATTTCAGTACTTAAAAAAAAGAATGTTTAAAAAACATTGTCTACACCAACACACAATCCTCAACGCCTGCCTTTGACTCACCTCCTGAGGCGCCTCAGATCAAGGTCGTGAGAGACGGCGAAGGCATCACTGAAGAAAAGGTTAAAAACGTTTACACACATTGGCATAATTGACTTGAATTCCAGTTATAGGCATGTGAGTATAGGTGATTGTACGGGGCAAGATCACTCTCAGTCACTTACCGTCTCTCCCTGCTTTCCAAGGAACTCGTCCCGGTGCTCCCACTGCTGATGTCTCTGACAAAACAAATACAAAACAAAGATATTGATAGCCAGGAAGTACAAGAGTTAACCAGACTTAATAAAGATCTTTCTTAGCATAAAAAGAAACATATCTTATCCCTTCTCGTTTTCTTTTGCCAAAAGGAGGAGGATGATCTTGGAATAAAATTAGGGATACGGTTCTATATTCAGAGTCCTCCTAATAAAGAAAACATTTGGATATCACTTAATCCAGATAAATCTTATTACCAACCTTGCACTCTCTACTATTTTCCTCTCGTATAGTACATCCTGCAAGCAAGTTCACCTCTCACCCCGATAAAGCTTCTCGTAGACATCGCCGAGGGAAGTCCCGTTACAATACGCTTTTAAAAACCCTTAATATTAGGAATCAAGGTATCTAATAGGAAAAATAAAACTTGCGATATCTAACCGTTTCTCTCTGCTCTCCAAGGACATGCTCGTGCTCATCCCGGTGCTCCCCGAGCTCATGTCCCTGTTGGAAAGGAAAACACTTCATAGCCAGAAAGAACAATAGCTAATCGGACTTGTAGATTCTTTCTTTTTCGTGTAATTAAGTCAATTTTCTATCTCTATTTCTGTTTTTCAAAAGGAGGAGGATGGCCTAAAAATAACATATATAAAAGCAGTTTTATATTCAGAGTAATCGTCATACCTACAGCACTGTGAAGACTGTGATATCAATTGATCTAGCTGAAACTCACTGCTAACCTTGCAATATCTTGCATAGCAGATCTTGCCTGCAAGCTCACCTCTCAACACGCTGGAGTTTCTCGTAGACGTCGCCGAGGGAGTAGGCAGAGGAGAGGCCAACGACGGCCACCAGGACCAGGATCAGTGCCACCCTAGGAACGATATTGTATTTAGTAAACATACCATCATATGCTACATATGATATCTCTGCTATTAGGAAATACTGCTCGGCACAAGATGCTAAATCTTTTCCGTATAAAACTTACTTCATATTGAAAGAGAAGAGGGTTTCTTCCGCACGTTACTCTGATGCTAATCCAATGGCAACTGACGGATACAGGTCTGGGTCGCTTTATATATGATCTTTCAGTTCGTTCTGTGACACTGCTGACGTCACACGGTTGTTCTTGTGCATCGTTCCGGTTATCATTTGTTCAACAGCAGATGAAAAGGGTTCCAAGAAGCGAGAGAGAGAGAGCAAGAACAAAGAGAACTAGAGAGAGGCTGAGAGTTATAAATGTCATGTATATATGTATATCCTACCCTCTCTCTCTCTCTGTACACACACACACACACAGACACACATACGCACACACTTACACATACACACACACACACACACACACATATATATATATATATATATGGATGCCTCAGCCACTCGTTTCTGAGTCACTAATGAAAGTAGATATTGTTCCCGTGGTTAAGAACAAAAATGGTGGTGTCTATAGCATCAATAATTATAGACCAATTGTTCTCTTAACGATGCGCTCGAGTGTTAGAGGCAATTACTCCTCACAGACGTTCCCCCACAAAGCAAATCACGGAACTAAAATATATTATGGACCTGTCAAAAGCTTTCGATAATGTTTGTCATGCGTTAGACGGAGTGATGATATCTCTGGTGAGTCAAACAAGGGTCCTGGTGTCCCCACATCTCTTTAACCTTTAACATTCTGGCAAAAAAGCTATATTTATGTACATATGTATATGTACATATATAGAGAGAGATAGATCAATAAATGTGTGTGTGTGCATATATACGTCTATATATATGTATATATATACATATATATATATATAAATATATAAATATATATGTATATGTATAAATATATGTACACATACACACACACACACACATATATATATATATATATATATATATATATATGTGTACATATATTTTTTATATATAAATATATGTACATATATATATATACGTACATATGTTTATATATATAAATATATATACAAACATACATACATACGTGTAGCTCGAGCTAGCAGTCAGAGCACAGGCATTTTTACCTCTAGGACGGGGAATTGAACTCGGGACCACGAGGGTCGCAGTCCAGTGCTCTAACCACTGGACCATCGCGACACTCATATACATATATATGTGTGTGTGTGTGTGTGTGCGTGCGTATATATGCATACATATATATATGCATATGTGTATATATATGTATATATATACGTTTATGTATAAATATCATATATATATATGGATATATATGGATACATATGAATATATATATGTATATATATATGTATACATATATATAGATACATATAAATATATATATATATATATATATATATATATTTATATATATATATATATATTTATACATGTATTTATATATATATATATGTATATATGTATATATATGTATATATACATATATATACATATATATATGTATGTATACATACACATATATACATATATATACACATACGTTTATAAGTATATATATATACATATATCTATATAGACAGATATATATATATATATATACATATATATATACATATGTATAAGTGTATGTGTATATCTATTTATACATATATGTTTATATATATACACATTTATTTATCTTTTTATCTATTCATACAAGCAAGTATGTATATATATAAATATATATATATATATATATGTATGTAAATGTGTATATGCATATATAATTATACATAAATGTATGTATACGCACACACACACATATATATATATAAGTGTGTGCGCGCGCACGTGTGTGTGTGTATCTATATCTATTTATCTATCTATCTAAATATATATTTGTGTGTGTGTATGTGTGTGTGTAGTTTGAGAGCGAAACATATGTATGTATATATGTGTATATATATATGTGTGTGTGTGATTGATTGATTATTTGAAATTATCTGCAGCGTCAACATGTGCGGTATATGCACATGCATATCTGTATACGCGCACACGCACGCACACACACACAAACAAATGTGTGTATATATATATACTTATATATATGTATATATACATATATGATTTGTATATGTTTACAAAACGATACATATGCGTATATATATATACATATATATAAATACATATATATATATATATATATGTGTGTGTGCGTGTATATATATATATATTACTTATATAAATAAATAAATATATATTTAATATATATATATATTACTTATATAAAGATAAATATATATGTCATATATATAAGTATATATGTGTGTGTGTGTGTATGTTTACAAAAAGATATATATATGTATATATATATATGCATATATAAATATTATATATACATATATAGATAGATAGATATAGATATGTGTGTATTTATATATATGTATACACATACCTACACACACACACGCAAGTGTGTGTGTGTATGTATATATATATATATATATGCTTAGTGTGTGTGTCGTAAACTGGATGTATATTAATCTATAAAATCAATTTATAATTACAACTGTTACGATTATTAGATTTATTGTCACCACCAGCTCTTTCTATAGGTAAAACTGGAAACCTTATAACTATAAGCATGTGACCCACGATTTTCTGAATATATGTAACTATCTTAAAATAACAAATTATATAGACATAAAAGAACAAAATATAAACAACTATGAACAACTACTAAGCCTGTCAAGTTGTTAATCTCTCCCCCTAACAATAAAAAGCACAGAATATTCTACCGTAATACTCTCCGATACTGAACTCCCTACCCAGTATTCTCCCACGCAACTCAGAAGAGCACTCCCATTACCAAAGTTGCCAGCAGGAGTCTGTCTATCTTGACAATCTTCGGCTGTATTTAATCTTTATTTTGTCGTCTTACTGCATTTATATATATATATTTACTTATATATATACATATACATGTTTACTTATATATATAAAAACATATATATATTTATATATATAAATATATATACACACATATATATGTGTGTGTGTGTTGGTTTGTGTATGTGTTTGTGTGTTTGTGTGTGTGTGTATGTGTGTGTTTGTGTGTGTGTGAGTATGTATCTGTTTGTATGTGTTTCTGTGTATGTATACATATACTATATATATATGTATACTCATATTGAATGTTCGAGTATACTTACATATTAAATGGTTATATATGTATGAATACATATATATACAAATAAATATTATGTATATCTTTCAACCTATATAAACACACACATGGTTGGCAAAAGAAGGAAAATTATAATTATTTCTTGCCAATTACTTTATTCCTTTTGATTACACAAAATGCAGATTATTATCTATATAAAAACACAAAATTTTCGTTTGCTAATGACATATCTTTCTGAAGAAACTTTTAAAGAATTTTGAATATTCGAAATATCCCTATTCAAATCAGGAGAGCCAAATGGTGGTCAGGTCGTTTGCCGAAGGTCAGCGCCGTCTTATCCGAGTCGGTTTTCAAGGAGCCGTAGTTGTCATTTCCTCCGAGCTGGCACTGTTGCTCTCGGAACTGCTGCTGTCGGGGCTGGCGCGTCTGGGCGGCGTGGGCGGAAGGGAATGAATGATAAACAAGTTAATGATCAATGATTATGTGTTTGTATCTGTGTGTATATATATATATATTTTTATACATGTGTGTGTATGTATATATACATGTATGTGTTTGTATATATGCACATATGTTTGTGTATGTGTGGTGCGCGCGCGCTTGTGTGTGTGTGTGTATGTATATATATATGTATAAATATCATATGTATATCCTACATACCCTGAACATAAAACAAAAATTCATTTGTATTTCAGTAATTAAAAAAAAGAATGTTTAAAAAACATTGTCTACACCAACACACATTCCTCACCGCCTGCCTTTGACTCACCTCCTGAGGCGCCTCAGATCAAGGTCGTGAGAGACGGCGAAGGCATCACTGAAGAAAAGGTTAAAAACGTTTACACACATTGGCATAATTGACTTGAATTCCAGTTATAGGCATGTGAGTATAGGTGATTGTACGGGGCAAGATCACTCTCAGTCACTTACCGTCTCTCCCTGCTTTCCAAGGAACTCGTCCCGGTGCTCCCACTGCTGATGTCTCTGACAAAACAAACACAAAACAAAGATATTGATAGCCAGGAAGTACAAGAGTTAACCAGACTTAATAAAGATCTTTCTTAGCATAAAAAGAAACATATCTTATCCCTTCTCCTCCTTTTCTTTTACCAAAAGGAGGAGGATCTTGGAATAAAATTAGGGATACGGTTCTATATTCAGAGTCCTCCTCCTAATAAAGAAAACATTTGGATATCACTTAATCTAGTTAAATCTTATTACCAACCTTGCACTCTCTACTATTTTCCTCTCGCATAGTACATAGTATAAGCAAGCTCACCTCTCACCTCGATAAAGCTTCTCGTAGACATCGCCGAGGGAAGTCCCGTTACAATACGCTTTTAAAAACCCTTAATATTAGGAATCAAGGTATCTAATAGGAAAAAAAAAAACTTGCGATATCTAACCGTTTCTCTCTGCTCTCCAAGGACATGCTCATGCTCATCCCGGTGCTCCCCGAGCTCATGTCCCTGTTGGAAAGGAAAACACTTCATAGCCAGAAAGAACAATAGCTAATCGGACTTGTAGATTCTTTCTTTTTTCGTGTAATAAAGTCAATTTTCTATCTGTTTTTCAAAAGGAGAAGGATGGCCTAAGAATTACATATATAAATGCAGTTTTATATTCAGAGTATTCGTCATACCTATAGCACTGTGAAGACTGATATCATTTGATCTAGCTGAAACTCACTGCTAACCTTGCAATATCTTGCATAGCAGATCTTGCCTGCAAGCTCACCTCTCAACACGCTGGAGTTTCTCGTAGACGTCGCCGAGGGAGTAGGCAGAGGAGAGGCCAACGATGGCCACCAGGACCAGGATCAGTGCCACCCTAGGAACGATATTGTATTTAGTAAACATACCATCGTATGCTACATATGATATCTCTGCTATTAGGAAATACTGCTCGGCACAAGATGCTAAATCTTTGCCGGAAAAAAGTACTAAGATTTTCCGTATAAAACTTACTTCATATTGAAAGAGAAGAGGGTTTCTTCCGCACGTTACTCTGATGCTA